TTGGTTCATTGTCTATTCCTTCTTTTAGGCCACCAGCAAATAGCTGGTCAGGCACATTTCGTCATCCATTTTCGTTTATTCGTGGCGATTCAATTGTATGTATATTGATATAAATCTTACTTTTCTACTTGATGCTACAGGGTGGTGAAGACGACAACTTTGCCATAGTTTTTGCAGCTATGGGAGTCAACATGGAAACAGCTCAATTTTTCAAACGTGATTTTGAGGAAAATGGATCCATGGAGAGAGTGACACTTTTCTTAAACCTGGTAATTCTTGCAATTTTAACATGGATCAATAAATGGTATTTACACCCCTTCAGTAAATAAAATGATTGCACTTCTTTAAGCTGAAGCTCGATCTGATCTATTATGCCATACTTCTTGCAGGCCAACGATCCCACAATTGAACGTATTATTACTCCCAGGATTGCCCTTACAACTGCCGAATATTTAGCATATGAATGTGGCAAGCACGTTCTTGTGATTCTAACTGATATGAGTTCATATGCTGATGCTCTTCGTGAGGTATTCTTCAATAAGTGCATCTGCATCTTTTTTATTTTGTATTCTTATGATTTGGTCCAATTTGATCATCATTAGATCTTAAAATCAATACCTATGGGTTAAGTGATGTTGCAAGTATTCTAAGCTTTCTTTAAGACTACTGGCATCATATAACTACATATCCTATTACAGGTATCTGCTGCCCGAGAAGAAGTGCCTGGAAGGCGTGGATATCCCGGTTACATGTATACCGATCTTGCAACCATTTATGAACGAGCTGGACGTATCGAGGGACGGACGGGATCTATCACACAGATTCCAATTCTGACCATGCCTAATGATGGTAACAAACGGCTAGCCATATATTTTGGTTATTATCACTGCTTCTGCTTGATTTTTCTTCTTATTGATCAATTTCTATCTTATGTTGTATGGACAGATATTACACACCCAACTCCAGATCTTACTGGTTATATCACTGAAGGACAAATATATATTGACCGACAACTTCATAACCGGCAGGTATATTATGGAACTCTCAGACTGAGTACATGTTCACACCAGCAAAGGGGCATAATACTTCATGTTATAAGATATCTAAGTAATAAATGAGCAACCAATCAAATTGAAGCAGTGGTACTTTAGGTTCTTTTAACTAAAAGAAGGGGGGAGGTATATTATGGAACTCTCGGACTGAGTACATATTCACACCAGCAAAGGGGCATAATACTTCATGTTATAAGAGATCTAAGTAATAAATGAGCAAGCAATCAAATTGAAGCAGTGGTACTTTAGGTTCTTTTAACTAAAAGAAGGGGTACTGTAAATTCTTCGTGTTCTCGATCCGTTTCTCTTGCTGACAATAGGGAAGTATTTCATGCTAATCACATTTTAAGTCCAGATCATCTCAATCAGGTGGCTTATAAACTGAAATGATTATTTGATAAACTGGATAATCAAGCAGGAAGAGAAAGCATCATCAACATTCGCTTGTCCTTTTTTGTGCGCGAGCATTTGGGAGGGAAATTTAACCATTGTCATGTCTTCTTTCGTTCTATGCTAACTTATACAAAGACCCTCCAAACATTTTCTGGTGATTCTAAGAGTTATTCCTTTTTCTTTTGATGTTGAGTCACTGCATGATATTCTTTCTCATTTATCATAATTTCAAGTTGTTTGCGTGCTTCATAAATCATGCCGCATACACTGAAAATAGATTGAAGGAAAGATAGCTTTTCAGTTTTTCTATTTTAATTCCATTTCCTGAATCAACTTAACAGGCTGACTTCCATGCCTAGGTTAGCTTACAGTTACCTTGGAAGGCGAAAACTGTTTCTGCTTTTTCTGCTATGAACTTTCTGAATATTATTCAAACAAGCTTTTGCATAATTCCTTTTTTTCTGTCTAGGTTGTTTTATGGTATTATGTTAGTCATAAGTTGTGCACTAATAAGAAATAATATTTCTATTATGCATTTATGCATCACCTTACACACCTTTATGAATTGCATGCCACCATTTATCTTGAAACTTAGGTTACTTTCCGGTTGGACTTGGGAATGAATTTCGCTAAATGACCAGTAGGATTTAAAGCAATTATGATTTTTTCTTCTGGGAAAAATGATAATAATAAAAAGATTTATGATACTTGTATGATTATTACTAAGGCCCTACAGTGACAAGTTTTTTTTTCCTTAGATGAAGCCCTACAGGTAAACTTACCAGATTTTGCTTATCCTTTCCATGAATGGCCTTAGTGCCATAAACTTCATCAGATTTTTGGACTTATCCAACAGTTTCATTCTTGCATTTCATATCTGAACAAAATCTAATATCTTGCAAATGTTTTATATGTGTTTTGCACATACTGCCTGGAAATGTGTTCAATAGAATGACATGTAGCATAGGAATCTTGCTTTAACATATCTTCTGCCAATTGAAAAGAATGCTGCAAAAGTAAAGCCAAACACATTCAACTATATTTGGGAAAATAAGGTCATTCTTGGAAAATTAAAGGAAGTTCCACTTTATAGTATTACTAGTCAAAAACACATCCAGGAAATACTCCATTGGTTTGTAATATTTCTATTTGCATATTTGGAATTGTGTTACATTACAATTCAATTGTGGACAATTTCATTGAACATGTGTTCCACACATGGAATATCTATGATGTCTTGACTCCTGAGTCACTGTAAGCATTCTGTTGCTTGCTGAATCGAGTATTTCTTGAATTCGGCTGTGTCACAGCAACAGAAGGTTGCCATTTTGTGATTAGCTACTGTTGAAGCTTTTATGACTGTGGATGGGTTGAATGTGTTTACTCCTTTAAAGGCATTGGGCTTTTGAAGAAAAATGTCTAAAACATTTTTTTTTCATTGTCTGAAATGTAACAGATATACCCACCAATCAATGTACTTCCATCCCTGTCTCGGTTGATGAAGGTGACCATTCGGATCCTTTTGTTTTCAGTCCATCTAGATGCTTTTGACTAATTGATACTAGGACGACTAACCCTTAAAACTTTTTCAGAGTGCCATTGGTGAGGGTATGACTAGGAGGGATCATTCTGATGTATCCAACCAGGTAAGATCAACTTTCGGAAAGCATGTTTTTTGCTGTTCCCTTTCATTTTCATTTCTTCAGGCAGACTTGATACATTTTTACTTTGTTTGCAATTGATGGCTTAATGTGTGTGTTCTTTCTCCTTTTTCTTTTTGCATTAACTTTAAAAAAAATTCAGCTGTATGCAAATTATGCCATTGGAAAGGACGTCCAGGCAATGAAAGCTGTTGTCGGAGAAGAAGCACTTTCTTCTGAGGACTTGGTAATTTGACTGAGAAATATATTTGAATTAGTTTACCTGTGTTTTGGCGGGGGTTATCATCAAGTCAAGATTACTAATAGTCTTCCTATAAATGAAACAGCTGTATTTGGAGTTTCTTGACAAATTTGAGCGGAAATTTGTCGCTCAAGGAGCCTATGACACACGCAACATATTCCAGTCACTTGATTTAGCATGGACACTCCTTCGCATCTTCCCTCGTGAGCTACTTCATCGTATCCCAGCAAAGACCCTAGATCAATGTTACAGCCGCGATGCATCTAATTAATAAAAAGGGATGCCAATAGGAAGGACGAGCTTTGTACTTTCGTCTGTGTGATTGCCTTGGTACGAGCTTTGACAATACTTTATTTCTTGTGCCGTCTGTTGTGCATCTCCTTTCATCTCAATAATAAATGCCCTCTCCAATGAGTTCCAAACCAAGGCTCTTCAGCATTTTGAAAGACATTGATATTCTTTTGAGAACCAATTAAACCGTGTAATCTAGTGTGTTGTTTTAGCCAAAAGTATTGCAAGGTTTGGTTTATTTACTAAATTTCAGTAATAGTAGGCGCTTGTAGGAATTACAAAGCCTTGTTATATAGTTTGTGTTTTTTCAATTGCTCCATGGCGTGTAAGCTGATTCTTTTGGATTATTGGTGAATAATGCTGCCTTGTATAAGGTTTCTCTGGAAAACTGGAAACTATGAGATTTAGGTTATTTCACAACTTGTTTGTTGATATATTTTACTTTTTCGAAAAGCATTTTTGCAAAAGAATAAAAGGCTTTGCAGTTGATTTTAGAAGTTTGGCCAAATAAGCTAATCAAATAATTGGCTTACCGGTGCATTTTAAATCTTGCATGGGAAAACGCTTTGCACTGAACACTTGTTTGTGGTATCAGTCGCTAACACTACAATTTCCTGCAAACCGACAGACTTTTCCCTTAAACTTCCATCTGGGTAAAACCTTTAATAGCTGAAGAGAATTAAAGCGAGATAGGATAAACTTCTCTAATCTTTAATTACATACATAAAATCACTTCAGTGGTGTCCTAACCCAGACCCAACCCCTCGACTAGTCGACTGTGCCTGATTAAAAAGGAGAGAATCACTTTGTGGGGAAATTAAAGTTGAGAATCATGGTTAAAGGGAAATTAAAGTTCTTATAGGTTCAGCTTTCTCCCAGCCTGTTTCTGCCAACCCTGCATACTTCCACCAAGCTCGTAGTTTTCCATAAACATTATATTTTGCTAAAAGATTAAGTTAGAAACTTTTTGAATTACAATGCTAACTTCTTGGAACTATAATCGATCAGGGGTGCTAAAGCATGTGTTGTATCATAGAGTATGGCCTTACACATCAATAAAGTTGGTGTAATCTGGATATTAGGGTTCAAATTATAGTTGAGATAAAAAATACTTTATATCAAATTTTAGTGGGCATAATTGGTGAGAATTAACATGTAAGTGCACATAAATTTGATCCAGGTATCACGAGCATGTTATTTATTTTCACATTTTGAAAGTTTTAGTTTTGTACTTCAAAGATCATCTACTTTCAAAAAATAGCTTTCCTAATCATGTCACAGAAGTATAAATTATAATTTAATTTTTTCTATTCTATATTTAGAAATATTTTTCAAAAAAGGGTCGAAACGCGAGGAAGAAAGGAGAAATGGGACAGGTCGAACAAAGCAAAAGTGGCACCTCCAGAGTACAGTAGTATACACCATCCACCGCTCAAATGTCTGAATAGCCAATGATTGATTCATTTGGTGCTGGGTCCACACACCACTTACACTACACCCGTACACACCCGATCCTTATTCGCTCCAAACCCCTCTTCTTCTCTTCTTTTAAACACACATTCGTCGTCATCGGCCCTTCCTTTTGTCTCCCTTTCACAACTTGTCCGAGATTCCCTGTATTCTCCAATCTTCTTTGTTCTTGTTCTAGAAACTTCTATGGCGGCGACGGCGAGTTCAACATGGCAGCCGCAGGAGGAAGGGTTCAAAGAGATCTGTGGATTATTGGAGCAACAAATGTCTCCTGCTACTTCCGATAAGTCTCAGATTTGGCAACAACTTCAACACTACTCTCACTTCCCTGATTTCAATAACTATCTCACTTTTATCTTCGCCCGTGCTGAGGTCATTCTTCATCACCCTTTTCTCTCTCGCTATTAGTTGCTGACAATTTCATTTTATTTTGCAGATTATGTCAACTTCTAGTTTTAGAGAACTCGTAATTGACTTAATTTGTTTAGTAGTTGAATGAAATGTGCCCCGAATATAGTGGATTAGTTATGTAGGATTTATGTAGCTGATTCATTATCTTATATTTTCCTTTAGTTTTTAGTTTCCATTAATACATGATTTTACTCAATGGAAGAAATGTATATATAAAATTGGACGAATTATAAGTGGCTAGGATTTCCTTAGAACAGAAATGGTCCAAATTTTGGTCCGAGTTTGGTATGACTTTTTTTTTATTATTTAAAAAGCTGCTATCTTCAAGCAGTGTTCACTGAATTGGTCCTTGCAACAGGGGAAGTCAGTCGACATTCGGCAAGCAGCTGGGTTGCTTTTAAAAAATAACCTGAGAGCTGCATTCAAAAACATGCCTCTCGCCAACCAGCAATACATAAAATCAGAGTTGTTACCTTCTCTAGGGGCGACAGATAGGCACATAAGGTCTACAGCTGGAACCATTATAAGTGTTCTTGTACAAATAGAGGGATTTGCTGGATGGCCGGAGTTGCTGCATGCTCTTGTCAGTGGCTTGGACAGTAACGACAGTAATCACATGGAGGGTGGCATGGATGCTTTATCCAAGGTATGAGCTTCTACTGCTTACTACATCAGCATTGTATGTGGGGCGTATCGTTGTCCCATAGGGTACTATTTAATTCATGGTTCTGATATCTAAACGGCTGGATGAGTATAGGAGAAACAAACTACTTTCTCTGTAATGTGGTTAATAAATTAAGACCCCAGGATTGCTATATTCTCCACCCGATGGTTATTGCAAGGACAATCATTTTTGTCTTTCTTGTGGATTGTCATTCAAATATAATGTGAACCGGAACTACGATTGGTAGAAACTGTTGTAGTAGTACATGATTCAGACCTTTCGTTCGTGAAAATAACAGAAAATTGGCATGCTAAAGATCTTGTTAAATGCAGATATGCGAGGATGTGCCAAGTCTTCTTGATTCTGATATACCTGGATTATCTGAACGACCAATAACTATTCTCCTTCCAAGGTTTCTCCAGGTGAGATAGTTTCCCCCCTTCCTTTTGTCCACTTTCTTTCTAATGTTTATTTGTTTGTTTAAGATAATGTTAATGTTTCCTTTTATTTAATGCTGTACTCTTAGTATCTTCTCTAACGAGATCTGTCTGCAAACAGCTTTTCCAGTCACCTCATGCTTCTCTCAGAAAGCTTTCATTGAGTTCTGTGAATCAATTTATTATGCTGATGCCTACAGTAAGTACCACTTTGTTGACCTCTCCAGTTGTTGCCTTTTATCCTGTTCCTTTTGTGCCATTTTCACTTCCATGTTGTTGTTGTAGGTTTTACTTTTATCTATGGATAAATATCTTCAAGGGTTGTTTCTTCTTGCCAATGACCCTGCTCCAGATGTGCGGAAGTTGGTAAGGAATTGCTGTGAACTCCGATACCTAATTTTTATGCGCGCCCTCTCCTTACCCGAGTTTTCCTCTACAGAAAACTTGTATTTCTTAATGCTCTTATGTATCCACTTTGTGGAACTCCGTTTCTGCGATAATGAGTTACAGTTTTGAGTATGTGAAAACTTCTGCCTTGTACTCAGTTTTGTTGTTTTTTAAACAGGTTTGTATGGCATTTGTTCAACTGGTTGAAGTTCGTCCTGCGTTTTTGGAGGTCAACATTTGTCCCCTTTCAAATTTTGGTTTGAGGCCTCTTATTGGTCATATTTGCTTTTGTATTGCATTTGTTTTGTATATGGGGAATGGCTCCGAGGGACCAAAAAATGCTAAACTTCTAAATAGGCAGAAAATAGTTTGAAGTTAGCATTCAACTGTAAGTGTATTGGGATTAATATTTTAGTTATTTTGGTTTCATTTCTGGTTGTTGGATTTTCAAGCGGATGGTTACGAGATACAATTGTTATATATGCACTGTTGGAAGTTCAATCCCTTACTAGACGTCAGAACTGCTGGTTCAATTTTATTATTCTGTTTTATCACCTAGATCTTGCAATTTGCTGCTTTATTGAAAAATGAATCCAGTCTGTTAACTTAAGTCGACTTGCCTGTACAGAATATGGAAAGATATATTCCTCCTTTTGCCTGTTCTTGATGTTCTGGTTTCTTCATGCAGCCTCACTTGAGAAATATCATAGAATATATTTTGCAAGTCAACAAGGATCCAGATGATGAGGTGGCGCTTGAAGCCTGTGAGTTCTGGTAATGTACTACTTCCTCTGCTTCTTGTATAGATATTGATCTCGCTCAGTGGATCTTAATTCTGTGGAAGGAGGAAATCAATAGTTTGCTTGAGATGATCTAGTAACCTTTACATTAAGCAAGGAAGCAACACCTTATTACATTCTTTATAGGTTTCCTTTTACACTATATTAAAAGCATGAAACCCCTTAGTGAAATGTCATTTACCTTTTTTACCCTTTAAAATTAGATTTCACACTAGACAAAATAGTCATTTAATTATTTTCGTAATTTTTAGGTATTTGAACTCTACTAAGTTTTGTTTATCAAAGCCTTCCTTATTTGAACTATGTACAAAGTCGTAATATTTAGAACTTTAAAATTTGTTGATTTACCACTTCAATTCGAATTAACATAAAAGATTGAACACAACGTCGAATAAACACATAAAATTGAACACTATCGTAAATATCTCAACTCGCAAATTACCTTACATATATAAAACCAATTGAAATGGTAGAACAAATATTGAATGATAATGAATACGTATATGCTTAAATAAATAAAAATATATAAATGTTGTAGCTATATATGTATTATAGGAGTCCTAAAATAAAAGCACACTCATATCCAAATTAAAAATAGGGAAATGTCGCATATGTGTAGGAGAACAACAATTTTGTACTCATTAAGATGGAGTCCCATATTAATGAATATACTACAACAACAACAACAACAAACACAGTGCAATATTAATGAATATAATAAGTTTTAAAAATTACATAAATATTATATAGAAATATGGTTGAGTTATAAAATAAAAGTTAAATAAAAAAGTATAAATTTCTAAACATAATGAATGTTGATCTTTTTTAGTTAAATGGAAAACCATTCGTTTGCCTCTTTAGTACAATTATTTGCTTTGTCATGAAATCAGAAAGTCATAATTACTGGTTACTATGTCGCATAATTGATTTAGAGAATTGTATGCTTCAGTTGTGACTTGTGTGAGAAGGCAATTAAGAGAATGTTACCTGCATCCATACATTTCTAATGATTTTTCGGCAAATAGGAGCTTATTTGCTTTGGTTTTTGAAGACATCATAATTATGTTACATATTTGAAATAAAGAAATGACCTATATAAGCTAAAATCTTAATTGATTTTAAAGTTTAAAATATTAGGCGTTCCTACATATTTCAAATAAGAAAAGACTTGGTAATCAAATTTTTAGTTGCTTCACCATTTTCGTGATAAGGAAATAATTTTTTGTTGATTCAAAGTCTTAATATTAGCTCATCCAAAATTGAAATATTTTGTTATAAAGTGTTTAGCTCAATTTTATATTTATGATTTGATGTATAACTAATCTTCATATGATTATTTGATAAACGCAATTTTTTAGTGTTTGTATGAAAATACGATAATTGTCCAAACAAAAATATTCAATAATACAGGGGATTTAAAAAACGCTATTAGGTAAACATACATTAACATTTGCCTTCATGAGAAGAGATAATCTCAGATCTTCAAATTTGAACTTACAAACTACTTCAGTTCATAAGAGTTTTTAATTTTCAGCAGGCAAATATTAAAACAAAAATAGTCCACGTTTGTTATGCTCTATATATATATATATATAGAGAGAGAGAGAGAGAGAGAGAGAGAGAGAGAGAGAGAGTAAATGACGAAAAACTAAAGAGGAAAACTAATATTCACGATTTGGTACCTTTGACTTTACATGTTGTCTTTGTGGTGAGATTTTACACAAGCATGTTTTGGTAGCCTAAACAACAAAAGCAACGTCTCCTCAGTTCTTAGGATGACTGGTTGTCCATCTGTCTGAACGCATTTAAACAACAAGACTGGTTGGTGTGAATACCGTTCATTGTTTTTCTTCTAAGCGCTACAGAGTAGGTATTTAAGCAGACAGGAACTTTCTGCATCATCCAATAACAGATTTTGACACTGTTAGTTTATAGATATGTATAGTGTAGTCTTGTCCCACATTGGAAGAAAAGTGATATCTCCTTGTAGTGTATAGCTATAAATAGGGACCTCTTGTATTGTATTTATCATTCAATATCAATAACATATTTTCTCCCGTGCCTTCTCACATGGTATCAGAGCATTAGTGAGAAAAGATCGCTGTGCGTCATTCCAGCGTTAACCGGGAAGAAAGAACTTAGTCATCGTGTAATTTTTCCGGTGACCTAAGGCTTGTCTAAGTGAAAGTCACTTTCTGTCGGTGTTGTGCTAAAACCAACACCACCACGAGGTAGATCACCCTCCGACTACCAACCCCTGAAATTTTATCCGGCGAAAAAGCCGCCACGCTCCTCCATGCGCCGGCAACAACTTTTCCGGCGAGGGTTCCGGCCACTTTCCGGCCATGTTTTCGCGAAGCTTCTTCAGGACAGTGTGTTCTCCTCAAAATTCCGAGCCTACCCATCTAATTCAAATCAAATTCCGGCCACTTTTATATTTTTCCGGCGTGAACAGTGACCTTTCTGGCCATTTTTTGAAAATATTTCTTCAGGACAGCTTGCTCGCAAAGGAATTCCGAGTCTATCCATCCTGGTTACAACAAATTCCGACAACTTTGGAATTTTCCGGCGAGCTACAGTGTTCCCGGCGTGAACAGTGTTTCGGGCACAGAACAATGTTCTGTTTTCCTGCTGTAAACAGTGTTTTTCAAGCTATTTCTTCAGTTTTCTCACAGGAGTTACTTATTTCCACTATTTCAAGTTAACCTTACTACTACAAATTGTAGCGACATGGGAACCGATGCTTTGAATAGTCGGATGATTTCTTTAGCAGAGTGTATTGAGTTCCTTCAGTATAAAGCATGTATANAGCAGACATCTTCTGAGATAGCTTCTGTTGTTCAAACAGGTAATAGCGTGACTTGTTTCTCCCAATTATCATCCTCTGAGTTTTGGGTCATTGATTCAGGTGCATCAGATCATATTTCTGGTAACAAATCTCTTTTCACTACTATTTCGTATTCTCAATCTCTTCCAAAAGTCACAATGGCCAATGGGTCTCAAAACATAGCAACTGCAATAGGTCAAGCAAGCCCACTTCCTTACTTACCTTTAGATTCAATTCTTTATGTTCCCAATAGTCCTTTTAATCTCATAACTGTTAGTCGCTTAGCCAAATCACTTAAA